TGGGATAAATTCCACTTAATCATAGTGTATGATCATTTTAATGTATTGTTGGAGTCAGTTTGCTAATATTTTGTTGAGGGCTTCTGCATCTACTTTCACCCGTGTAATTTTCTGTTCTGTGATATCTCTGTCTCATTTTGATATCATGTGGTGCTGGCCTTACAGAATGACTTTGGAAACATTCCTTTCTCTGCAACTTTGTGCAATACTTTGAGAAGTATAGGTATTAATTCTTCTCTAAATGTTTGGTAGAATTCCCCTATGAAGCCACTTGTTCTTGGACTTAAGTTTTTTGGTTATTTTTTTAAATTACTGGTTCAATTTCATTACTGATAATTGGTCTGTTTATATTTTCTTTTTATTCCTGGTTCAGTCTTGGGAGATTGTATATTTCTTCTAGGTTGTATGTTTTATTGTCATACGGTTTTTCCAACTAATGTCTCATGATCAGTTGCACTTCTGTGGTGTCGGTTGTAACATCTTTTTCATTTCTGATTTTATTGATTTGGGCCCTGCATATTACTCTTGATGAATCTGGCTAAAGGTTTGTCAATTTTGTTTATCTTTTCAAAGAAACAGGTTATAGTTTCATTGATATTTTCCATTTTTAAGTCTCTATTTCATTTATTTCTTCTCTGGTCTTTATGATTTCTTTCCTTCTGCTAACTTTGTGTTTTGTTTGTTCATCTTTTTCCTAGTTCCTTTAGGTGTAAGTTAAGTTGTTCATTTGAGACTTTTCATGTTTCCTGAGGTTTGTTTGTACCAGTATAAATTTTTATTTTAGAACTGCTTTTGCCGCATCTCATAGATTTTTGGATCATTTTCTGTTCATTTGTCTCTAGGTATTTTTTGATTTCCTCTTTGATTTCTTCATGATCCATTGGTTGTTTAGTAGCATGTTGCTTAGCTTCTGTGTGTTTGTGATTTTTGCAGTATTTTCTTTTAGTTGTTTTCTAGCCTCAATAGTGTTGTGGTGGGAAAAGATACTTGATAAGATTTCAGTTTTCTTAAATTTACCAAGGCTTCTTTTGTGGCCTAACATTCCTAGAAAATGTCCCATGTGGACTTGAATGTGTGTTCTGCTGCTGTTGGATGGAATGTTCTATACCTATCTATTAAGTCCATAAGGTCTAATGTGTCATTTAAGGTTAGTGTCTCCTTATGGATTTTCTTTTTGGATGATCTGTCTGTTGACTTGAGTGGGCTTTTAAAGTCCTTTACTATTATTGTGTAACTGTCTGTTCTCCCTTTATGTCTGTTAATATTTGCTTTATTTATTAAGGAGCTCCTATGTTGGGTGCATATATATTTTCAGTTGTTACATCTTTTTCTTGGATTGATCCTTTGATCATTATGTAACGTCCTTCTTTTGTCTTAAAGTCTATTTTGTCTGATATAATTATTGCTACCTGGGCTTTCTTTTGATTTCCATTTGCCTGGAATGAGTTTTTCGATCTCTTCACTTTCAGTCTGTGTCTTTAGATCAGAAGTGAGTCTCTTTTAGGTAGCATATACAAAGGTCTTGCTTTTGTATCCATTCAGCAACTCCATGTCTTTTGATTGGAGCATTTAGCTCATTTAAATGTAATTATTGATATGTGTGTTCTTATTGCCAAAAGAATAGTTAATAGTAGTTTTGTTAATAGTTTTTGGGTTGTTTTTCTAGGTCTTTTTGTTCCCTTCTTCTTTTGTTCTTTTGTGATTTGATGACTATCTTTAGTGTTATGTTTGGATTACTTTCTCTTCTTTGTGTATCTTACCGAATTTTTGGTTGTGGTTACCATGAGGTTTATATACAGCTATCTATCTATATAAAGTTTGATCTCTTAATTTTAAACACATTTTAACTATGCTTCATTTGTACTCTCCTCCCCTCATGATTACTACTTTTGACATATTTTACATCTAATTATTTTGTGTATCTGTAAACTTCTTATTGTGGTTATAGATGACTTTACCATTTTTGTCTTTAATCCTTCCTATGAACTTTGCATATGGTTGATTTTCTACTTTTACTATATATTTGCTTTTACTGATGAGCTTTTCCTTTCATAATTTTCATGTTTATAGTTGTGGCCTTTTCTTTTTTGCTTAGAGATGTCCCTTTAACATTTCTGGTAAAGCTGGCTTGGTGGTGTGGAACTCTTTCAGCTTTTGCTTGCCTGTAAAGCTTTTGATGTCTCCATGAAATGTGAATGAGAGCTTTGCTGGATAGAGTATTCTCGGTTCTAGGTTTTTCCTTTTCATCAGTTTAAATATATCTTGCCACTGCCTTCTGCCTGCAAAGTTTCTGCTACAAAGTCAGCTGATAGCCTTATGGGTGTTCCCTTGTATGTAACTTGTTGCTTTTCCCTTGCTGCTTTTAATATTCTCTCTTTAGCTTTAATTTTTGCATTTTTAATTACAAAGTGTGTTGGTGTGTTCCTCTGGATTGGGACTCTCTGTTCTTTCTGGACTGGGATTTTTTCATCTCCCTAGTTAGGGACATTTTCAGCTATTATGTTTAAATATGTTCTCTGTCACCTTTTTTCTCTCTTCTTCTTCTGGGACCCCTCTAATGTGAATGTTAATATGCTTGATGTTGTCCCAGAAGTCTCTTTAACAGTCTTCATTTCTTTCCATTCTTTTTTTCTGCTAAGCATCAGTGATTTCCACTACTCTGTCCTCCAGCCCACTGATCTGTTCCTCTGTACCATTTAGTCTACTGCTGATTCCCCCTAGTGTATCTTTCATTTCAGTTATTGTATTCTTCATCTTGTTTAGTGGTTCTTTATATTTTCCAACTCTTTGTTAAAAACTTCTAATTTCTCACTCTGTCCATCCATTCTTCTCCCAAGTTTTTTGGGATCATCACCCTGAATTCGTTGTTGGGTAGTTGTCTATCTCTACTTCACTTAGCTCTTCTTCTGGGGTTGTATCTTATTCCTTCATTTGGACCATTTTCCTCTGTCAATTCATTTTGTCTAACTTAATGTTTATATTTCTATGTATCTGGGAGGTTGGTTCCATTTCCCAACCTTGGAGAAGAGGCCTTTTGCAAGAGACTTCCTATGAATCCCAGCAGTACACTGCTCTCTCGTCATCAGAGCTATATCCTCTAGGAGTGCCCCTATATGTGTTGTGCGGGTCCTTCTATTGTGGTAAGCTGACGGCTATGGGTGGCCTGGTTGGCTTGGTTGGCCCCCAGTCTGGTTGTTTGCCAGGACCTTCCTGTGTGGAGGCTGCCGGCCACTGGTTGGCAGGGTTGGGTCACAAGGTGTCTGACTGTAGAACCCTGGGGAGCCCTGGGGTTAGCTCTGTATCACTGGTGGATGGAGTCAGGTCTAGAAGATCCTGAGGCTGGGGCCAGCCCACCAATGGGTGAAGCCAGATCCAAGGGACAGTGCCGGCCCAAAGGCAGGCAGTGACAGGTTCTGGGGTCTGGCTGCAGGGCTGAGTGCTTCCAGAGATGGCAATGGACTGCTGGTGGGTGGGTCTGGTTCGAAGCTAGAGCAGGCTTATTGGTGGGTGGAGTCAGTGATTCTGGGGCTGGTGCCTGCCCACTGGTGGGTGGATCTGGATCTCTGGCTGCAGGGCCCTGGGGGTCCTGGGTCTACTGCCTGCACATTGGTGTGTGGTGCCAGGTCCTAGACCCTCTGGTGTGCAGGTATGTGTCCAGGGGTGGCTTTTGGCTCAGAAAGTCTTAAAGGAGTCTCTCTTCTGATGGGTTGGGCTGTGTCACTGCCCAGTTAGTTGCTTGGCCTGAGGCTTCCCAGTACTGGTGCCTACAGGTTGGTTGTTGTTGGTGGGGTGGATTCCAAAATGGTGCTGCAGCACCAGTGGTAGAATGAACTCTCAAGAATGGCTACTGTCAGTGTCTATGTCCCTAGGGAGACTCTTCAAGATTAGCAGGTAGGTTTGACCCCAAATCCTTTAAATTACTGCCTCTATGCTGGGTCCTGAAGCATGTGAGATGTTGTGTGTGCCCTTGGAGAGTGAAGCCTCTATTTCGCAGAGCCCTCTGGAACTCCTAAAAGCAAGCCCCACTGGCCTTCAAAGTCAAATGTTCTGGGGACTCATCTTCTTGTTGCAGAACCTCCAGGCTGGGCAGACTGATGTGGGGCTCAGACCCCTTATTCGTTGGGGAGAATCTCTGCAAATGTAATTATTCTCCCATTCATGAGTTGCCCAAGCCAGGGAACTGATTATACTGTGACTCTGCCCCTACTACCTGCCTTGCTGTGGTCCCTTTTTTATATCCTTAGTTCTAGAAGACCTTTCTTCGTAGGTTCCAGTCTTTTACATCAATGGTTGTTCTGTAAATAGTTGTAATTTTGCTATGTCCATGAGCTAAGGTGAGCTCAGGGTTATTACTCTACCATTTTCAATGACAGTTGTTTTAAAAAGGATTCTGTTGACTGTTTCTTTCCCTTATTTTTCTGTTAAGCTCTCTGCCTCCTTTGGTATCACACCAATCGAGAAGAAGTGTGCCAAACACTGTTATGCCAACACAAGGGGCAACAGTGTGAACTATAAACTATATAATAGAACTAACGGTGTCTACTTCACATGAGATATGGAAAATGTGTCTGATATTTTAAACATATAGAGGGAATTAGTAACCAATGAAATAACTACATGCTAAATCCCTCTTTTTATCCCATTCATAAAATAGACTTTCTGCATTTGCAAATACAAAGCAACTATACTTCTAGCCTGAAAAAGAAAGTGAGTAGAACAGCATTTGAAATGTTTCCATCAAGCATGTTCCAAGCTCACTGTATCATTCCATTTTTATGGATCATTTTTTTAATTGAATGAATTCTAAAATTAAAAATATGCAGCTAATTCTCCATTGATAGCAACTGCTAGAATTCCAGTAATTAAAGGAGGGAATTTGTGAAGACTTTTTATCCTGTAATAATAGCATATAGGTACTGTAGTCACTAAAGATCCAAAGTTAAATAAACTTCAGAGAAGATAAAAAACAGGAAATAGACGTGAAATATTCTTCTTCTTACCAAGACGACTCTTGGGTTGTGTCTTGAATTCACCCTTCATAATACTTCTTCCAACAACATTTGGGAAGCTTTCTGTGTCACTCTCTATAGAAATAAACAGTTTCAAAATACTTTGGTAAGCTAAGTATTAACATGTATATGTTTGTAGAATGTGTGTATCCTTTAATTAGATCTTTTTATTATAGAAGAAGAATTATAATGAAATGTCTGGACTGCAGACATAATACCTTAGAATTGGAAGAGCCATTAGCAGTTGTTTAAACCTCATTATATTGAGGCTTAGAAATGCTTAGTGATTTGACCAAGACCATATATCCAGGCAATGACAAAACTGACTCATAAACTGAGGCCTCATAGTTCCTTAACTAGGACCTTTTCCATAAAATACAAAGTCTTTCACAAATTTAAGTCATCCTAAAGAGTTTTTCTTAATAAATATAACTCTCTTGTGTATACTAAAAACACATTCATATGGGAGGGATGTACCTGGTGAGGTGGGACAAAACACTTCTTCATTTTTGTATTTGATTACTACATTCATTTCAACTCCTTTCCTCGTAGCAGTTTCTGTCTTTCAGATTTTATTTAGTGTTTAATTATAAATTTACCATTAATAAATATAAAATAATTAATTTTGTTGTTAAAAGGCATGACTCTTTTTTGTATTTTATTTTTAAACATCTTTATTGGAGTATAATTGCTTTACAATGGTGTGTTAGTTTCTGCTTCATAACAAAGTGAATCAGCTATACATATACATATATCCCCATATTTCCTCCCTCTTGGTCTCCCTCCCACCCTCCCTATCCCACCCCTCTAGGTGGTCACAAAGCACCAAGCTGAGCTCCCTGTGCTATGCAGCTGCTTCCCACTAGCAATCTATTTTACATTTGGTAGTATATAAAAGTCCATGCCACTCTCTCACTTCATCCCAGAATTGAACGGATGTAAATGAAAGCACTTTGTTGCTGTGTCTAAGGCTGTTATTCAAAACTGACAAGGACTCCTATTAATAAGCAACATGGAAGCAAAAATTAATTGAAAGAACCTAACCAAAAATACTCTGAAAATTAAAGACATGGAAAAATGGCTTATCGTAATACACCAAATTTAACTGCTTGGTTCCAACAATTTCATTTTTACACCACCAGCTTTTCCCCAGTTAAAAGCTGTTGGAGCAAGTAATATTTATTTGATTCATTTACAACACTATTTTTTTTACAGGAATAAAAGCGAGAATATAATAAAGCATTCAAAAGCAAAGTTTCAGAAATCTTGCCTTAAATTTCAGTGAAAACACATATTTTGGTGCTTATATCTGAGGATTCAGTTACTTTCCAATGCTAGCTTTCAGCATCAATTCTGTAAAAAGTTCATAACGACAGTATTTCTTGCAACAAAGAGAAATGTATCGAACCCTGTTACTCCAGGACTAAAGCAGTAATCTGTGAATAATAAAACTCAGCTAGAGAACTCCACTCTAGTAGAGATATAAATTTACATACCAACTTAATTATGTAGAGGAAATTGGTAATCAGTGAAATAACTGTTATGTTCCTCTTCTTATACCACTCATCAGCTAGCTTTTTTGCTTTTTCAATTTCAAAGCAATATTCCTTTCTAAGCCAGCAAGAAAGTGAGTAGAATCACAGTTATAAATACTTAAACCAAGCATATTCTAAGGTCATTAGAGCATTGGATTATATGGATTACTTTCCAAATGGATGAGATTACAACTGAAAAATATCCAGCTAAATTTCCATTGACAGTAAATACTAGAGTTTAACTAATTATAAGAGGAAATTCATGAAGATTACTGTCCATTAATACTAACATACAGTTACTGTTATCATTAATGATTCATAGTTAATTAAGTCCCAGAGAAGACATAAACCATAAATTATTAGACTTGGAAAATTCTTGTTCTTACCAGGGTGACTCTGATGATGTGTCTTGATTTCACCAACTGCTTTTTCTCTTCCAACAGTATCTCTCATGCATTCTATATCAGTCTCTATAGATAGAAAACAAATTTCAAAACACATTGTAAGGTAACCATTAACACACATGTGTGTCTTTGTGTCTGTGTGTAGTACTAACTTAATTAGTACTTGTATTACAAAAGAGAAATAATATAATGTCTGCATTGCACAATCATAAAACATTAGAATTTGAAGGGCTCTTAGCAATCACATAAGCCTCATGATATTGAAGCTTAGAGATGTTTTGTGATTTGATTGAGAACACACACCAAGATAATGCAAAACTGAGTACAAGCTGATGCCTCATAATTCCTTAACCAGTGCTTTTAATACACAATGCACTGTCCCATACAAACTTCAATCATCTTGGGGAGTTCGTGTAAATGATATAACTGCCAAGTTTACACTAAGAGGACACTCATACTGTGAGGATATACCTATGAGTGGAACGTGGCATTTTTTCCCCACTGGTCAAGAGACAAACCATGGTCCCACATTACGGAAAGTTACTACCAGGTAGAAATTCTTTGACTCTCTCAAGAATGTTTAATGCCATTTTTAAGGCTATGTAAATCAAGTAGACATCAAAGATGTAGAAGAGTAACAAGATATTCTGTAGTCTAAGAAAAACTGCCTATCAGGTCCTCTTACTATGTACACCTTGTAACTGGGGAGGGGGAAATGGGTAAATCTGAGGCAGTACCAGCATTGGGACTGCATCCCATCCCATCTGAGTTTTTATGTGATTTGGACATTTGGTGGGATTTAGAAAGTACTAACTAGGTCAAAGGAGAGAAATAACATTCATGTATTTTGTTTTAATACATGAAAGTTATTAAAGAAAAATTCATATTGAAAGAGGGGTTAAGTAGGATTGCTGACTTGGGTCAAATTATGTGTCCAGTGTTTTGTGAATGAAAGCTAGTTACAGAAGAGCATGCACCAGAGGTTGGAAACCTATCCTGAACCTGACACCATAAGGTGGATCTTACTTTGTCGTAATGGCTGAGACCAGAAGTAAGTGTTAAAGATCCAACTGAGTAGATATAATTGAGGCTCTCTGGTCTTTCTCCAACTGGTATAGGTTAAGAATGACAGGCCCAGTTGAAAGAAGCATGTAAAGATGCTTATATAAGCAAGGAAGCATTAAGAAGAGCATTTGATAGCAGATAGAATTAAGGACGAGGGAAAAGGGAGTATGTGCTAGAGAAATCTGCAATCTAGTAAGAATCACAATTTCCCTCCTCATAATACCCTCCCACTGCTTAAATTATTTTTTAAGCCTACCCTTCCTGAAGTTCCTAGTATATGATTCACACTTTACTGTTTCTTTGCATGTCTCATATTTTTGGGGGGTTTATACTGGGCATTCTAGACAATATCTTGTAAGAAATCTGGATACTGAGTTCCCCTCCCCTTTGGAGGCTTGCTGTTGCTGTTTGCCTGATTATTTATTTAGTGGCTTGGCTGGAATATATTCTATTGTAGAGAAGTCTCCTTCTCTGCAGTGCGAATCTTCTAATGTTGCTCCTCTGGGGGCACAGACTTGGGCATGCAAACAGTCACCTTTGGATGACACTTGTTTTTCCTGTTGACGGTCTCTTTCCTTTTTCTGTTAAGCTCTCTGCCTCCTTTAATATCACACCAAAGATCAAGAAGCAGTGTATCAAACACTGTAACACCAAGACAAGTGGCAGTAGTGTAAACTACAGACTATGTAACAAAACTAAACACCTCTACTTCACCTGAGATACTGAAAATGTGCCTGGTATTTCAATTATATAGAGGGAATTAGTAAGCAATGAAATCTCTCTTTTAATCCCATTCATAAACCAGCCTTTCTGCTTTTGCAAATACAAAGCAACCATCTTTCTAGCCTGAAAAAGAAAGTGAGTAGAGCAGCATTTGAAATGCTTCCATCAAGCATATTCTAAGCTTACTACAGCATTGAATTTTTATGGATAAGTTTTAAATGAATGGGTTCTAAAACTTACACTATGTAGCTAATTTTCCATTGTTAGTAACTGCTAGAGTTCCAATAGAAATAGGAGAGAATTAGTGAAAACGTTTCGTCCTATAGTAATAGCATATAGGTACTATAGTCATTTAGATCCAAACTTAAATAAACTCGAGAAGATAAATAAAGCAGAAATAGACTTGAAATATTCTTGTTCTTACCAGGATGACTCTTGGATTGTGTCTTGATTTCACCCTTTATTATACCTCTTCCAATAGCATCTGGAAAGCTCTCTGTATCAGTGTCTATAGAAATAAACAGTTTCAAAACACTTTTGTAAGGTATATATTAACATGTGTTTTTGTGTGTGAGTTTATGTGTGTATAGTACTCCTTTAATTAGCATTTTAAAATTATAGGACAACAATTACAATGAAATGCCTGGACTGTAGGCTCACAGGACCTTAGAGTTGGAAGGGCCGTTAGCAATCATACAAGCCTCATTATATTGAGGCCTAGAAATGGTTAGTGATTTGACCAAGGCCACAAATCTAGGTAACGACAAAACTGATCCATAAACTGATACCTCATAATTCCTTAACTAGAGTTTTATCCATAAAATACAAAGTCTTTTGCAAATTTAAGTCATCCTAGAGAGTTTATTTTAATAAATATAACTTTCTTCTCTACATTAAAAGCATATTCATATCGTAAAGATATACCTGGTGAGGCCAGACATGGCATTTTTTCCCCAGGTTAAATTGCAAACAATGGGCATCACAGTCACAGAATTTTACTGTGAGGCAGAAATTCTTTGACTTGTCCAGGAACACTTTAATTCCCTTTTTTTAAGGTTATGTAACTGTTTGTCAAGTAGGCATCATTGATGGAAAAGAAAAACAAGTAATTTGTGGACAGAGATAAAGCACCCTCTCAGGTTCTCTTAACATGTAGACCTTTTCTCCCCTGTGCAGGAGGAAATGGGTAATTTGCAGGAATGTGAGCACTGATACTGTACCCCTTTCCATCTGAGTCTTTATATGGTTTTTACTTTTTGTTGGATTCAGAAATGATGATCTAGGTCCAATATCAGAAAAAAATTTATTTAAAAGAATTTTATATTGCAAAAGGAATAATGAGAATTGGTGACTCTGTGTCACCTGTTGCGTAAAGTTTTGTGTGGGCAAAAATTGGTTCTAACACAGCATGTAAGTGAAGTTGGAACCTGTCATATCCAGAATTTATAGATTGGAAGTCTTCCTTTGGAGAAATGGCTGAGCCCATGAATATTTCAAACATGCTCTATCACTGAGGCAACACAAATTTATCACCACTGCAATCTAAACAGAGGTAAAGACCATATGGGGTGTCACTACTAAAATCAAAGACACGTTGGATTGGGCAGAACAAGTTTTTAGTAATCAAGTTACAGCATTTGTGAAAGTAATGTCTGCTATAGCAACACATAACTGGAGAACATCAGCAGACAAACTTTAGCCCTTTGGTCTTTCTCCAACAGATATAATTAGAAGAACTGATTCATTTGATCTGAGAAAGCAAAGGAGCCTTAGGTGAGCAGGGAGGCAGTAAGAACAGCCCTTGAGGGCAGACTGAATTAAAAACTAGGAGCATAATAAATGATATGGGGTGGAGAAACCTAATCTATTAAGAGCCACAATTTTCCTCCTTCACAACATTCTCCTATTGCTTTTAAGTCTTTTAAAAAATCCTACCCTGCTTGGAGTTTGCTGAACTATTTTTTAAAAAACATGTAACATGCTATACAATTGACCCATTTTAAATATCCATTCTATGCTTATCAGTATATTCATAGAACTGTGTAACAATCACCATAGTCAATTTTAGAATCTACTTCTACTTATACTAAACAGATTAAATTCCAGGAAGATTTAGAAATGTTATTTTCATATTCTACATCTATAGTTCTCTTTATAACTTAATTCTTATAGTTTTTTCCCATTTTTATATATGAAACATATAAACATAAATTCATTTATTACAATTGTTTTTTAAATTATTTATTTACATAACTTTGTGCTACACAGAGAAACTGAGAGGAGAAGACAAAGCATGTATGTATAGTGTTTATTATTTTAACCATTTTATTTATAATATCTGGTTTTCTTTTCTGTCATTATTTAAAATGATATTTTCTGTTCTTTAATGCCTCTGCTGTCCATGCTATATTTCCATACTTTAAATTTGCTGATTCTTTCTTCTGACAGTGTTAAAATACTGAACACCCCCTATTGGATTTTAAAAAATTCAGTTATTGTACTTTCAATCCTGGATTTACATGTGTTCCTTTTCAAAATAATGTATTTCTCTTTGTATATATTCCCTATTTGATGAAACACTATCAGACCTTCCTTTCCTTCTAAATAATGTTTACATTTAGTTCTTTGAACATATTTATAATAACTGCTTTTTAGTTTAGTTTAGTTTTAGTTTTGTCCAGTATCTAGGATTCTCACAGGCAGTTTTTTGTTGCATGTCTTTTTCCTTGTTATATGTCACAGTTTACTGTTTCTTTACATGACCCATAATTTTATGCTGAAAACTGAATATTTTAGATATATAATATAGCATCTCTGCCAGACTTCTTCCTCTTACAGGGCATATTATTATTGTTTTCTTGTTTATATATTTAGTTATTTGGCTAAAATATTTTACTGAAGTCATTTCTCTTAGCAGTTTGAAAGCATAACTGTTGCTCCCAAAGGGAAAAAGCCTTGGATAATAGTGGTTTTAGGAGTGTTGTCTTTGTCTCTTTCTGTTACATCTCTGTTAAATTGTCTGCCTCTTTTGGTGTCACAGCAGAAGTCAAGGGCAGTGTGCCTATCACTGTTACAAGAGTAAAGGCTATAGTACAATCTCTGAACTACGTAACACAACTAGTGACTCTACCACAGATGAGTTAGGATAATATACCTGATATTTCCATCAAATAGAGACAAATGGTAACCAATGAATTAACTATCTGTTAAATTCCCCTTGTTGTTATCACATTGATCCAGAAACCTTTCTCCTTTTCCTTCTATCTAAGCCAGTAATAGAAAAAGATTAGAACAGAACTGAACATACTTGCATCAAGTATATTCTAAGGCCACTATAGCATTTAATTTTATGGTTTAATTTTTAAATGGCTCATTTCTAAAAATCATAATGTCTAGCTAACTTTTAAAGTTCTAGTAAATACCACAGTACAATTAATTATGAGGGTAGTCACGAAGACTTTACCTATATAATAATAATATACAAGTGCTCTTATCATTAAAAAATTCATACATAAACTCCAAAGAAGGTAAATAAACCATAAAGATTAGACTTGGAAGGATTAGACTTACCAGGGACACTCTTTGGTTGTATCTTCATTTCTGCCATTAATATACGTCTTCCAACAGTATCTTTCAAGTGTTCTAGATCAATTTCTATAGAAATAAACAGATATCAAAACACTTTGTAAAGTAACCCTAACACGAGTGTGTGTCTGTGTGTTCATGTGTGGTACTATCTTTTATATATATATATATATATATATATATATATATATATATATATATTTTTTTTTTTTTTTGGCTGTGTTGGGTCTTCGTTGCTGCACGTGGACTTTCTCTAGTTGTGGCAAGTGGGGGCTACTCTTCATTGCAGTGCACAGCCTTCTCATTGTGGTGGCTTCTCTTGTTGCGGAGCACGGGCTCTAGGTGTGTGGGCTTCAGTAGTCGTGGCACATGGGCTCAGCAGTTGTGGCTCATGGGCTTAGTTGCTCTGTGGCATGTGGGATCTTCCTGAACCAGGGCTCAAACCCGTGTCCCCTGCACTGGCAGGTGGATTCTCAACCACTGTGCCACCAAGAAAGCCCCATGTGTGGTACTATCATAATTAGCCTTGTTATTAATAAATATGCATTATAATGGATTATATGGGTTGAAGAATCATTAAACCTTAGAATTGGAATGGCCGTTAGCAATCATTAAGCCTCCATATATTGAGGCTTAGAGATGTTAATGACTTGACCAAGATTGTGTATCCAGATAATGACAAACTTGATGTACAACCTTCCAACTTATAATTCTTTAACCAGTGCTTTTTCCATACAATGCTATCTCTTATGCTAAATTAAAATATCTGGGAGAGTTATGATAATAATATAACTCTTAAGTGTACATTAAACTCATAATCATACTGTAGGGGTATATACCCAGTAATGTGGAATATAACAGTTTTTTCCTCAGATTATGTTGCAAACTAGGGTCTCCATGGAAATTTACCACAGTGCAGAAATACTTGGACTCATCCAGGGATATTTTAATGCCCTTTTTATGTTACTTAAGCACAAACAAAGTAGGCATCAGTGATGGAAAAGAATAACAGAATGTTTTATAGACTGAAAAAACATGCTCTCCCAGGTCCTTTTAGCATGTAGACCTTGTTGCTTGGGAGGAAGAAATGGTTAAATTTGTAGAAGTACCTGGGTTGAGATTGGGTCTCTTACCATTTGAGTTCCTATGTCATTTAAAATTTTTGCTTGATTTAGTAACTGCAATTAGGTCCAATTACAAGAAAAATACATGAACATTATTAAAGGAGAGTTTATACTGAAAAGGAATAATTAGAAATGATCAACTATTGGGTCTAAAATTTTGTGGTGAATTTGTTTCTAGCAGAACATGTACCTGAAGTTAGAAACCTGCCATGACTAAGATACCCAGATGGAAGTCTTTTTTCAGAGAAATGGATGAGTCAGTAAGTATTAAAGGTTGTGCAGTCTGTGTAGAGGTGGTTACCTGCTGCAGCACCATTACCAAAATGAAACAGGTGTGTCAGATTAGGCAGAACAAGTTTTCAATAATTAAGTAGCAACATTTTGTGAAAGTAATAAGATCTATAGCAAAACAAAACTGGGGAATATTAGCAGTTATATTTTAGCTTCTCTAGTTCTTTCTGCAACTGGTATATGTAAGAAGGACTTGCTCATTTGAATTAAGGAAGCAAAGAATACTTAAATAAGGAAGAGGCAATGAAAACAGCATCTGAAGGAAGGTTAGGTTAAGTACTAGCAATTAAAAAGTATGTGCTGGAGAAATGTATAATCTAGTAAAAGTCACAGTTTTCTCCCTTATCATACCCTCCCCACTTCTGAAATCCTTTTTTATCCTATTCTTCTTGGCATTCATTGAGCTAGCTTTAAAACATATATAACATATTATACAATTTGCCCATTTAAAGTGTTCATTTCAATGTTTTTAAAGATATATTCACAGAGTTGTATGACCATCACCACAGTCAATTTTAAAAGAGACTAGGCAATGTTCTTACCACAAAAAAGAAATGATAATTATCTGACACGATGGAGGCATTAGCTAACACTAGGGTGGTCATCATGTTGCAATATACAAATGTATCAAATCAACACCTTGTAAATGTTAAATACACAATGTTATAGGTCATTTTTTTCACAATGAAAAAAGAATCTACATCAGAATTATACTAAGTAAATTCCAATAATTCCAGTGAGGTATAGAAATGCTACCCTCATATACCATTATTCCCTCCTCCACATTTTTGCACTGCTGTTATACGTATTATAAATATAATAACCTATAAGCTATAAATATAAAGTCATTTTTAAAACTTAACATTATTTATGTTTAATTATTGTTTAATTACTACTTTATTTCTTTACATATATGTATTTATACTACCTTTTATAATTACAGAATTACTTTTACCCAGTCTCTTTTTTAGGGGATTCAAATTACTGTCTGAGGTCACTTGCTTTCAGCCTGAAGAACTTTCCTTTGTACTTGTCATAAAGTGAATCTGCTAGCAATGAATTTTCTCAATTTTTTATTTGTTTTAAAATCTCTTTACTTCACCTTTATTTTTGAGAGATAATTTCGTTGGATATAAAATTTTGGGTTGACAGTTATTTTTCTTTTGCATTTTGAATAGGCCATCCTATTGCCTTTTGGTCTCCATAGTTTCTGATGAAAAGTCAGCCATAAATCTTATTGGAGTTCCCAATAAGGAGCAGAAATAACAGTTTTCCAGTGTGTGCATGTATCAGTTTATACTACTACCAGCAGTTTCTGAAAGTTCTGTAATAGTTGCTCTACAACATTATCATGACTTGATTCTGTCATTCTTTCTGATTTAGGCTCAATGATGGTATGTCATAGTATCTTCATGATTTTAACTCCAATTTTCTAGATTACTAATAGGACTATAATTTTCAAATGTTTATTAGTTATTTAGATATCTTCTTTGGTGAAGTACATGTTTAAGATTTTGACCATTTTTCTATTGGGTTTTCAATTTATTTCTATGCTAGAAATTCTTTAAATATCTGGTTGAAAGCTTTCTGTTGGATATTTGTGCTGCAAACCTACTCTGTCATTTGCTTTTTTTTTCTCTTAACGGTTGAAATGATTTATTTTTAATGTTTTCTTTACAGCATTGGGACTGGCTAGCTAAAACTCAGTTTATAAGGGAACATACTGATCAATCATGGCCCTGAAAATTAAGTACTGAAACTATTTTAACAAACCAGGAATTTAAGGCTAAAGTTTAACTCCACAGCAACCAAGAATAATTCCCTTTGTGCTAATTAACCTTTACTGCAGCTCTTTCATAGATGACCTGCTGAGTTTCTACTTTGTGGAATTGTGGATGAACAGCCAATTCTTCTTTTTTTTTATTAGTTACCTATTTTATACATATTAGTCAATCCCAATCTCCCAATTCATCCCTCCAGCCCCCTGCTTTCCCCCTTTGGTGTCCATATGTTTGTTCTCTACATCTGTATCTATTTCTGCCTCGCAAACAGGTTCATCTGCACCATTTTTCTAGATTCCACATATATGCATTAATACATGATATTTGTTTTCTTCTTTCTGACTTACTTCACTCTGTATGACAGTCTCTAGATCCATCCACATCTCTACAAATGACCCAATTTCATTCCTTTTTATGGCTGAGTGATATTCCACTGTATTTATGTACCACAACTTCTTTATCCATTCATCTGTCAATGGGCATTTAGGTTGCTTCTGTGTGACCTGGCTATTGTAAATAGTGCTGCAATGAACACTGGGGTGCATGTGTGTTTTTGAATTACAGTTTTCTCTGGGTATATGCCCAGTAGTGGGATTGCTGGGTCATATGGCAATTCTACTTTTTGTTTTTTAAGAAACATTCATACTGTTCTCTATAGTGGCTGTATCAATTTACGTTCCCACCAACAGTGCACACCCTCTCCAGCAGTTCTTTGTAGATTTTCTGATGATGCCCAGTCTAATCGGTGTGAGGTGATACCTCATTGTAGTTTTGATTTGCATTTCTCTAATAATTAGTGATGTTGAGAAGCTTCTTATGTGCCTCTTGGCCATCTGTGTCTTCTTTGGAGAGATGTCTATTTAGGTCTTCTGCCTATTGTTTGATTGGGTTGTTTGATTTTTTAATATTGAGCTGCATGAGCTGTTTATATATTTTGGAGATTAATCCTTTGTCCATTGATTCATTTGCAAATATCTTCTCCCATTCTGAGGGCTGTCTTTTCATCTTGCTTATAGTTTGCTGTGCAAAAGCTTTTAAGTTTCATTAGGTCCCATTTGCTTATTTTTGTTTTCATTTCCATTACTCTAGAAGGTGGGTCAAAAAAGATCTTGCTGTGATGTATGTCAAAGAGTGTTTTCCCTATGTTTTCCTCTAAGAGTTTTATAGTGTCCGGTCTTACATTTAGGTCTTTAATCCATTTTGAGTTTATTTTTGTGTGTGGTGCTAGGAGTGTTCTAATTTCATTCTTTTATATGTAGCTACCTTCCCAGCACCACTTACTGAAGAGACTGTCTTTTCTCCATTGTATATCTTTGCCTCCGTTGTCATAGATTAGTTGACCATAGGTGCATGGGTTTATCCCTGGGGCTTTCTATCCTGTTCCATTGATCTGTATTTCCGTTTTTGTGCCAGTACCATATTGTCTTGATTACTGTAGCTCTGTAGTATAGTCTGAAGTCAGGGAGTCTGATTCCTCCAGCTCCATTTTTTTTCCCTCAAGATTGCTATTCAGGGTTTTTTGTGTCTCCATACAAATTTTAAGATTTTCTGTTCCAGTTCTTTAAAAACTGCCATTGGTAATCTGATAGGGATTGCACTGAATCTGTAGATTGCTTTGGGTAGTATAGTCATTTTCACAATATTGATTCTTCCAATCCACAAACATAGTATATCTCTCCATGTGTTTGTGTCATCTTTGGTTTCTTTCATCAGTGTCTTATAGTTTTCTGAGTACAGGTCTTTTACCTCCTTAGGTAGGTTTATTCCTAAGTATTTTACTCTTTTTGTTGCAATGGTGAGTGTCATTTGCTTTTTAAATATCTTAATGGTGTATTTTAATGGATACAATTCTGAAGATTAAATCCAGTTTTAA